TTATCAAATGAGCAGATACGTTACAATATATATATATATATATATGTAAAATGATTATTTAATGATAAAAAAAATAAAAGCTGATGTCTGACATCCTGTCGTACAACCAACTCATATATTAATTAAAACCCGCTGAATACCAAATTATATATTTATCCCTAGTTTTCCTATATTTCAAAGACAATCTGAGCCAATTATCGATTTGATCAACCTACCATAGAGATAGGGAAATATTACATGTTTAATTAGACTTCTTATGGTCTGTGAAATTATTTTAGAAAACTGATCGTTTACACGCATACGTATTGCTGTCACAGCGATTGAACTCGATTTGACAGTAGAGTCAGGGATCCTCTCTTTTTTATTACTAACGTTATGGTGGGAAGGGGGCAAAAACAAATGTGGGTGGGCAAATTCCTCTCCCAATTTGATTGTTAAGTTATACATATCGCCTGGAAAGCTTTCGATATCAAAGAAATAAATGAATTGTGATAGAATACAATCCAGAAAAAGAGTAAGGACACACAATGTATTGTACTTTTGATGTTTTAAAGATGTCGGCTCACTTGCACTCAGGTATTTTATTGTGGTATTAGACCAACTGACTACTGTATTAGAAATTTAATCTTACATACACGTTCGCACGCGTATTACCATTTTACGTGGTTTTTTGTCTGTTTGGTTATTTTATTCTTGTATGGTAGAAATCAACCAGATATATCCTATAATAATAATAAGTATTCCTTTTAATCCTACTTTTTTATACTAATGGTACTACTGCACTAAATGATTATTTATTTAATTAAATAATGCTCGAAGGAACATTATTCATTAATCCACTTATAAAGGAACTTGTTATCTTCTCCCCACCCACCCCAAAAAATTGCTAGATATGTTAGAATGGTTAAAACCCTTCTCACCCAAGGTCTGTGGGTACTTTGGAGTTTAAAAATTACACACAAAGTACTTTTTGAAACCCAAAGTTGGCTCAATGTAATTTATCACGCTAAAATTTGTGGTGAATAACAAGTCCCCTTAAAATTACATGTGAGTATAAGATGTCCTACTTGCCCCCGCCCCCAAATTTTTAGTGCTAGCACCGCCACTAGTGGTAGTTGATGTTGACTAGCTGCCTTCTATCACTTCTAAATTATGGATAGCTAGTGCAGATAGCCATCGAATAGCTTTGCACTAATTCAACAATAATATATATATATATATAAACAAAAAACATTGTTAAAAGATCGAAAGTGATATAAAAAAATATTGAACTGAATGTGAGTTAATGCCCATACGCTATTGAGGAAGTTCTAGTAACATGAATTACAGAATGTTATATTCTAAGACAGTGCTTCTCAACAGGGTGAATGGTTCACCCAGGGGTTAATGAGATCGGAGTGAATGAAAATGATGGGTGAATTATTATTACAATTATACAATAAATTCATGAGAAAAAAAAGTCATTATTTATTACTATTTATTCTAGTTGTAGTTTGATAAATACAATTATTTTTGTTTATTTTATGTTGTATACATTCTAGCTGTAGTTTGGTGTATATTTAATTCATAATAAAAAAAATTATTTAATATATTTTATTGCCTTTTTTCGAACTGGGGTGAGTGAGCTGTCGTGAAAAACTTACAGGGGTGAATGATATTGCAAAGAAAGGTTGAGAAGCACTGTTAAAATGGTTGATTTAATATATAATTGAAGCACGTATTCTGAAAGTCATTCATAAAATAAGTTCTTACTTCGAAAACCAAGGCTCGATCTAAATATAGAACTACAGAACAGAATTATTCTTTTACTGGTTGAGTTTAAGCCAAGGCATAAATAGAATGTCGTAAACGACAATGAAAATATTATTCATTTAGACTAAGACAAAAACACAGCGTTGTATATGTTTTACCTACGACAGTCCCTTCCTCAAGATGTTTCTGATTCAGGATCATCTGCACAACTAGCTAAATGCAAGATATCTAGATTCCAAGAAACCTCGCATTTACTTAGTGTTGCCACATAACTGGTCATTCTCATTCCACATAGGTGAGGCCGTATTATCTATACAATAAGTAAAATTACATAAATAAAAAAAAGGCTTAAAGATATAATCAACAGTAATGTAACACATGGAGAAAGATATTTCATGAAAAAAATCCTGAGAGTTAATATTTCTTTAAGCAAATACAATAATAAGAGCACCACAAGTGAAATTTCAAATAAGCTAACATGAGAAATAACACCAAAGTCTTCTAATTTCACGAAGGTAGTTGAATATATCTTAAAAAAAGAAAGTTTGGAGCATCACACATGCATATATATATTATGCAAGTGCAGATTTAAGAGCAAGGGCCCAAGAAGCTGGATTCTTCAGAAGCCAACTCACACGGATCCTTCAGAAACCAACTTACAAACTTCATTTTTTTCTCTTTTTTTTTTGTCCAATTTAGTGAAAAGAAAAAAAAATATTTTACTAGTCCCTCCACAATTTGGTTCACTTTTAAAATACTACATTCGAAACAACTTTCAAGCAGTTTTAAATTGAATATTTTAATATAAGCGTTTTAATTTAAAAGCTTTATTCGGCTAAAAACTGGAATAATTCAAAACTTAAATAATTATTAAAACGACGTTTCGCAAGCGTTCGCTTCGTATCATCTCGTTCACGTTTATTAACACAGATACTTCTTAAAAATAGAAGAAAATCACAATTACACACAAACAATACTTTGAACGAAATATAAAAGTGTTCTTGGATATTTATTCAACCTGTGTTTATAATTCTGAATATATATATTGATCTTTTTTATCTTTCTTTTGCTTACATCTTTGTTTGTTTGTTTTTTAATTATGCACAAAGCTACACAAGGGCTATCTGTGCTCTGCCCGCCGGTTTCTAGAGTTGTAAGTCCGCAGATATGCCGCTGTGCCACTGGGGGGCGCTTACATCTTTCTTTCTGTTAAGAACAATTACATACTTACTGGAGAAGCCATGAGGAGTTTAACTTGTGTGTTCGAAAACATGCGAGTGTAGTCACATATTTTCCTTCATTCTAATAATTAATTCTCTTTCTGATTACCCTACGTAAAATTATTCACAGTCATTGCATGTAATCTTTAAAACACACAAATAATTTTTAGATTCAGTGTTGTTTTTAGAAATAAGGATTTTGTCATGAGTTTAACCTCTATAATCATACTACGTTCATCTTTCTGATCAAAATTACAATGTTAAATTGAAAATATAAGTTTTTGCTGCGTAAATGAAGATTACAGAAATTGTTATACTATGGCATTTTGTCGTAAAACAAAACTACGAATGTTGATAAAGAGCTGCTTTTTAAAAGCTGCTCGATAAAGAGCTGCTTTTAGCGCAAAGCTAACCACAACTGGTTGTATGTGCTCTGTCCACCGCAGGGAATCGAAACCCAGATTTTCGCATAGGAAGTCTGTAAATTTACCGATGACTCACCGGTGGACAAATTAAAAAGAAATTCATAGGCATGCAGAGTATATACAAAAATAATAACGATCTCTGTGAATTACACAGATATTATTGGAATTCTGTGAGTAAATGACGTGCATATTGTAAAGAAAAATAATCTATAGACATGTCACGTCACGTAAGTTATAAAAACTGCCAATGACTGGAGGGAATGAAACAATATATTTAAGACTAATATAATAGAATCA